GTGGACAGCCGGTGCCAGTTCTGCACATTATCCCTGCAAAAGCGATATGCTGAGTGGCAATCGCCACACTTGTACTTTGTCCCGTAGGCAGTTCCGGTTGTGATCACATCGTTGCAATCCATGCACCTTAGGTGGTCAACACAATTGAGAAGAAGGACTTCGATGACGTAATCATTGAAGTTGGAAATTGAAAGCAACATTAACGCCTCGGCGCGTCAGTAGCTGTGGGTCGCGGGCCTCGGGGGCCAAGTCCATGTCATCCACATCAGACGACCGGGCTGACGCAGAACGCCCCTTGATTGCCTTCTTACGGCGCACTGGGGCGACCGGCTCTGGCGGTGGCGGCACAGGTGATTCAGCACCACTGTCTGAATCAGCACCGCCCTCCCCATGGGGGGCATTCTTCAAAGCTAGCGGCATTCCTTCCCAAGGTCAAGGAACGCAAAACTACTCACAAGTTCACAAGAACCGCTCAGCGACGGATGTTGGATTTTGGAGTTTGGAGCCTGCAACATCTCTCACTCTCTCGTAGTCAGGCATTCAGACAAACTGCCAATGACCGTCACCCAATGATGTTTTGCTTCTCCACGGCCCCCCCGCTAAATCTCAAAAGACTACTCACAAGGCCAGTGAGAGTACCCGCTCGCCCTGAGCACGCTCTAGGGCAACTGCACAGTAAACAACAAGACTGCACACAGCATCAGGCCTACACAAGCCGTGTGCATACAATTCCCAGCGAGTTTGCACTGGGCGCGGTGACTAAGGTGATGTACCGCAATGCGCCTGGACCGCATTGTTCGACTCACTATTTCAGTAACTGGTATGGAGTGAAGCTGCAGTAGCTCGACACCTGAGAGAAAACGTTTGTTCTTGTACGCATACAGACGGGCACAGCCCGTAGTGAGCGTCGGGAGATACTCAACCCCCTTGCGGGGACGCTGCGCAGGATCCTGGTAAAGGTCCCCGACGACAATGTCGGGGTACAATTCCTGGTATGTTTTCATTCCTTGGGTTTGCAAGCCAACAGAGCAAACAAAATCAACTCATAGCACAACGCAGCTGAGCAGCTGTCAGCCAGATTTCCGGAGACACGATGCCGCACGCACATATCCGGGAGGAGGAAATCTGAAAACTTCTTGTTGCAATCTTGTGGGCAAGCATGCACCGACCCAGCGTTGACGATGTCGCTTAAATCATACTGCAGCCTGCATGGGCCACATGCATGCGTTTGCAACTTTGCATGACACTGCACACATTTCTGCGCCTGAAGCCACGTCGCAACCCAATAACATATTTCCTAGATCTCATCACAGGAAAATCGGCCACTGCACGTGGATCTAGGTGGGCCACGCCAGCAATCTCATATTGGTCACCTTTCGGCAAGCGGAATGCAAAATCTGAAACGTGAACCGAACCTTAGCATAGCCCACCCCCGCCCAACCCAACGCCCGCCGCCCCACCACACCCCGGTAGGCCACCTCATCCAACCCAACCCCTCCGCCCAATTGGACCACCCCACCCCACCGCTAACAACTGGGGACAAAATCTTAATCAAGCAACCAAGAAACTCACACGTTCAGCAAGCATGTCTTCAGGAAAGCCATGAACATTTTCATGGATGAAGGCATCGACTGGGCTCTGAAGCAAATGCTTGCACCTTAAGTACGCTCAAACATGCACAAGAGCCGCTTTCAAGACTGACATCCCGTGGCATGTACTGGCATGTTGCTGGCATGGCGCAAAGTCAAAAACGCCACGATTGACTTACCCTCGCCGCCAAGTCTTTCGCCCCAAGTGCTCCAGTCCACACACGGGCTGCCGAACGCGGCCAGTTTGAGTTTTCCACGAGATGGCACACGTGGACACATTTTGCAATGGCAATAGCAACTTAGCTGCGAACAAGCACCCAAACATGTGTCCAAAAATATGTCCAAAAAAACTTTTGCGCATGCCACATTGCCAATTTCATAACCCGAAGCTAGCTTAGGGTCCAAACCAAATTGAACCAAGAGGCTAAGTAGAGCGCTTCAAAGACACATCATCATTCAGAATCTCCCGGCTGAGTTCGTCCAGATTCTTCCTGCACGCAAACTTCAGAAGCGTAATTGTGGTTAGGTATAAGGGAATTTCGGGCTGGAGGCTAAAGAGGTTAAAGGGGAAGATAAAAAAGATATATATACATATATATATATACATCCTTCATATAACCCTTATATAACCGTTGTATAATCTCTATATAACCCCTATATAACCCCTTTACAACATTTACACAACCGCACTACAGCCCCGTATAACACCTATACGTATATGTATACATATATGTATATATATACATACATGCATACATAAATATATCCTTCCCAAAGGGTTTGGGGTTTAGGTCAAGACTTGTGGTTGAGCTCTTCATTGTTGTGAACTAAGGCCAAGTTTAGGTCCTGCTACCGCCCACGAACAATTTTGACAAGGGCCATATTCCAACACTTTAAAGAATTATCGTATAAGTATTGTGCAATTGTTAATGAGCGAGAGCAGCACCCAAGGCCGTTGTCAAAGTCCATTGTCATGGCCCCAAACTGTCCGCAAATAGAGCCCAGACAGTGTAGTAGACCGAGCAGTTAAATTTTAACTGTTCGTTAAGACACCAAATAGACCTCACAAATAGACACGAAATACTAAAAACGGACCCCAATAATTATTATTGATTAGGATCCCCTTTCTACA